TCCCGCCGATCGCGTGCTGGACCGTTACCGACAGCATGCCCCACCACTTGCGGGCCCAGGCAGCCGAGGCACAGGCCCGGAGGGCAGGGGGCGCCCGGAGAGCGCGGACATGGACGAGCTGACGAACAAGCTCATGCGCATCCCGGCTCCGGCCCCCGACTTCAGTAGCCAGGACGCACAGCCTTTGTCCCCCCCCAAGGCGCAGCTCCGGATAAGTGGCGTGTTTGCGCCTTTCGGCCGTCAACAGTGCCACTCCGGCGGTGTGCTCAGCCCTGGGGTGCGGCATCGGAGAGAGCTTTGTTGCAGGTGTGTGGCATCGTCGAAGGATGCCGCTGGACAGAGGTGCAGGGGAGATCTCCATTGAGGCACGATGCCGCGTTGTATTCTGGAGAATGCCCCCAATCCAACACAAAGAAGAATCTGCCAGATTCGTTGCGACGGGCCTCAGAAGAAGCAAAGCCATGACCTGAAGGCAACAGGCTAAGCCCCTTCGCGACGTCTGGACTGTTGCTCACATGAATTTTGTCCCAGGAGCTTTCGAAAGTTTCCAGGAGGTGACGACTGCATGCTTATTTGCCAGACATCAGAACCGGCTGGTGAAGTTGCAGAGGTACGACGATTGGAACCCGGATGCTGCGCGCAGCATGCCGTCGTTGGAGACGGTGCCCTTCCGTAAAGACGTGGAAAGTAATCAAGATCACCCTGCCCCCGAAAAGGTACACCTGTCAGAGATGCAGATCAGGCTGCCGCAGGCAAGACTTGGGTTAACGGTTGTCTCAACGCATCTTAGAAGACGAAAAACTAAGTTCAAGATGACCTGAAGATGACTGTTGACAGGACTGGGCCGATCTGCAGGACAGCTGGCTGTGGGATAAAGTGCTTCGAAAGTGGAGTTTGAGTGGAGGACTCGGGGGACGAGTCAATGCCGAAGGAGCTCTCAGGAACTCAGAGGTGGGCCTCTTATGCTTCAATGAGCCCTACAGCATCGTGCTCGTTTTGATTTGTTTGGTGTTTGAGGTCGGGCACCTTGGGGACCTTTGAAGCACCCCGGGACTTGTTCGGCGAAGGACGCTTGGAGGTGGACCCGATTGCAGGACCTGCCAAATGGCCCGCTGCTTGGAGAGACGGGTTCCCTTTGCGTGTTTGTCTCAGTGATTTTGCAGCTTCTGGCTGCCAGAAGTCGTGTGCAGGTTGAAGAATGCCATGGCATCCTATGGGCAAAGCGCAGTTTGCCTAGACTGTGCACTTTGCTTGTAACGCGCGGAATCTGCAACCTAGTTCAATTGAAGATGGAAAGCCGTTCTTTTGTGTAACTAGTCCAGTGCCTCAATGCCTCAACAGCCTGATGGGCGGCAACCTCTTTGTGGTGTGTTATGTTTGCATGCAGCTGTCTTGAAGCCATCTACAGGGGGGGATATCTGACAGGTGGCTAGAGAACACTGTCGATCCACGTTTGCTGTTGCAGAGGTTTCGCGGCCGTACGCAGACTTGGCACGCAGATGCCTCGGTCGCCTTGTCGGGAATCCAACTCCATGTATGTTAGCGTAAACCCTGGAGGCATGCAGGAGCGACAGTTGGCTGAAAACAAAGGCGACGCTGCCATTGTCTTACTGCCATTGTTACTGTTGCCCATTAGGCTGCCTGGCTGATCTGCACAACCCAGGATGTGGAAAGCAGCGTAGAGGCGACTATTTGTCACTGATTCGGGGCGATTCACCATTACATTCTGAATTTGCACATTGCTTGTTGCAAGGCAGATGATGCAGCCGTTCAAAAGGCCTTTAAAAGTGCTTGCCAGAGACGACAGAGATTATGGACGAGTTGCAGCGAGGCGATCAGCAAGCAGAAGTCCATGAATCAAGTGGCCCAGGAGCTCCTGAATAATTCTAGAGAAGGCTCGTGGAGCGCGCGAAGGTCAATGGTTTTACACCCTGTGAGGAGCAGCTGCAAAGAGTATTGAAGAAGTTGCAGGATCTGGAGGTGATTCATCATGTCATGGATGCCATGAAGTGTGCTCCTGATCGGAGAGATGTTGTCAACTAATACCAGCTGTGTTCCTGGGTTGACGGCATGGTCTCCAGGAGCAGACAGCCGCGTCAGCAAGAGAAGCAATTGCA